CCTGCTGTGTGTGTGTGTCGTGTCCTGTGTGTGTGTGTGTGTGCATGTGTCGTGCCATGGCCACATGTTTGAGAGCACAGGACTGGCTGGAGTAGGAACCAGCAACTAGCTAAATGTGTTTTCGGCTATCCAGTTAATGAAAGGCATACTGAAAATTAGTTCTTTCCCATGCACTTAACGAAGCCAACATATCTCACCTGACAGGTGACAAGCAAAGACCTGGAGGGCATTGCTGCAGCAGGTATGTTTCCATGTTCAGCCTGATGAGTAGATGACATTTCACGCTCAACTCTAGCTTCTGCATTGAATGATTCTTGCAAAGGCCCACAAGGATGTGATGCAATAACAGGTTCTGGCTCATCGTGGAGATTCATCAAGCTCATATTCCTATATGAGTAAAAAGGAAGCTTTAATGGCACAAATTCTACTTACACCTCAGTTACTGCAAAGAAGCAGACACAATTGTAAAATGTGTAAGATGCAAAGTTTCTGATGAAATACTTACAGTGACTGAACTTCCTTTGAAATTCTGGCTAGAGGGACTACCTCCCTGTCTATTGTGGATCCATGAGCCATCAAAAGATCCACAACAGTAAATCCACTAGCAATATTTTGATGAACCTCAGAAGCCTTCAAGCAGTGCAGATTTCTAAGCCAAACATGGTCTCCTACCTAACAGCACAATGTACAACAGCAGATGTATAGTGACTTTATACAATCATTATATGAGACAACAACATAATAATATACAATATATCATAAAAATTCTTTAATAGGTAACAAAAATTCAAATAACCATATATACTAGACCAATTTTATATTACGAATGAATGCAATCGTGGCAACAATGACTTCCTGCACTAGACTACAATTTCATATTATAGCTGCATGCAATCAAGGAGAGAGACAGCATCTCTACTGCAGTGAAGTCATACATATTAATCTTTTGACTTTACTATATATATATAGGCTCCTACTCTATAAACGTAAAATCTATTTACCCTACCTGGAGCTTTGATGCAATTATTGCTGCCTGACTCCCAGTCACATGGACAGGTAAGGTAACCTGTAGAGATTCACAGGTCAGTCTTGCTTGCTCCTCAGCACTTCCCCTCACTCTTAGTGATCTGATCAACAAAGGAGCATGAGTATTTTGTAAGTGCAATGCGAAGAAAGCACAGAATGAACATTGAGAAATCACAAAATGGCATTAGACAGTAAAGTTGTTACATGCACACAGTTGTACGCATATCTGATGCTTGGTCATATTATTGAACAAAATGATCATGCATCGATTGTTGCACACGTTTGCAAATAGAACATTTTTGCAACATAATCTTACAAGCGGCATTGAATTAATAATCCATACCTGTTTAGTTCAGTACCATTCCATATATTAAGCACGATCATTGTATCAGGATGAACCACATTTACTGTTACAATCTGAAATGTGTATTATATCTCATAATTTAATCAGTATCACATAACAAATCAACAATAGATAGCACAAACTAATACATGAAATATTTCCGGGTGTTTATAATAGATTTTACGTGAATTTATTCATAGGTATAGTGAAGGTAAACTTCTTTCTTTAAATTGAGCAATTTAGCTAAGTTCGAGTTGTTGGTGTAAGGAGACGTGGGAGGCCGAAGATGTCTTGGAAAGAGGTTGTGAAAAAGGATAGGGAACAGTGGAATCTCTCCGCTGTAGACCCCTTGGATCGTGTCACATGGAGAATAAGCGTGAGAGCTGCCAAAACTGGACCGAGCCAGATTCCTGGAGTGGGTTTCCACTGATGTGGATCTAAACCCTTGAGTCCAGTATAAAATAAAGAAACCGAAAACAACAACAACAACAACATGTGACCCGAACCAAAGGTATTTTTTTGTTTGGCCTTATGACGCAGCATGGAATTCTGGTAATCTTGCCCCTAAACCTACCCACATTTCAGACACAATTGATTTATATCATAGACTAGTAAGGAAATATTTCCATTTGTGCCATGCTACATACTGACAGAACTTTGCTTCTACATACATGAATTCACAGACGGGGCGCACAATGTTAATGATCTGGTATGCGTGTCTGGCTTACAGTCAGTGACCTTGGCAGACCTCTGCTTCCAGTAGGCGGCTGATTCCACACTGCTGCAATCCGACCTGAATTTCTATCACCAAAAGCAATGATATGAAGGCTTACACAGAGGTGTTCATATAAATGACACAACATGATTTCTTATATATATAAGAGGCACAGTGACGCACCGCCGTTGTCAAATTTAACATCGCCCGTTGTGAAAATGTTCATGTATTTACCCGCCATTGTCAAAATAGTGTCAACCCAAAAATAAATAGATCACCAGATTCACCACGTGCTTCCAGCATATTCAGATTGCCATGTGCGTTTACTGAGTCATGTGACGCAGGGTCTACACTTTTCCGTTATTCGATTGGTTAGAGTGCCATCCTTTTTGTTCCAAACTGGTTATTACCTCCTTTGACTAATTTTCCCTCAGAAGAAACCCTGCACAATCATTGACTATATCTATGCATATACCTTTTACTGCTACCCCGGACCTCTCTGAAGATAACACTGCAACAGCCATTGTTTATCTATTTAATTCTTTATCAAACTTTCTCAATCTACCTGCCAATGCCACATTGACTTGTCATAGCTAAATTGCTCATTTTTAAAAGAAAGAAGTTTAGCCTTCACTATACCTATGATAAATTTTCAGCGTAAAATCTATTATAGAACACCTCGGAAATATTTCATGTATTAGTTTGTGCTATCTATTGTTGATTGTTATGTGATTACTGATTAAATTAGTGAGATATAATACAACAATTCAGATGTATACATTAAAATGTGGTTCATCCCTGATATCAATGATCGTGCTTAATATATCGGGAATGGTTACTGAACTAAAGCAGGTAATGGATTTTAAATCAATGCTGCTTTGATAAGATTATGGTTGCAAAAATTTCTATTTGGCAAACCGTGTGCAAACAATCGATGGCATGATCATTTTGTTCAATAATATGACCAGCATCAGATATCGTACAGCTGTGTGCAGTAACAACTTACTGTCTAATGCCAGATTTTGATTTCTCATGTCATATCCTGTGCTTTCTTCGGCATTGCACTTACAAAATACTCATGCTCCTTGTTTGGATCAGATCAGCTAAAGAGTGAGGGAAGTGCTGAGGAGGCAAGCAAGCGGACCTTGGAATCTCTACAGGTTACCTATCCTGTCCATGTGACTGGGAGTCAGGCAGCAATAATTGGCATCAAAGCTCCAAGGTAGGGTAAATAGATTTATACGTTTATAGAGAGGAGCCCATATATATCATAGTAAAGTCAAAAAGATTGAATATGTATGACTTCATCAGTAGAGATGCTGTCTCTCTCCTTGATTTACATGCAGCTAGTAATATTGAAATTGTAGTTTAGTGCAGGAATGTCATTGGCCAACGATTGCCATTATTCGTATATAAAATTGGTCTAGTATATATGGTTATTGAATTTTTTGTTACCTATTAAAGAATTTTATGATATATTGTAATATATTATGTTCGTTGTCTCATATAATTGATTGTATAAAGTCACTATTACCGCTGTTGTACATGTGGCTGTTAGTAGGAGATCATGTTTTGGCTAGAAACTGCACTGACTTGAATGCTTCTGAGGTTCATCAAAATATTGCTAGTGGATTACTGTTGTGGATCTTTGATGGCCATGGATCCACGATTAGACAGGGAGGTAGTCCCCTCTAGCCAGAATTTCACAGGAAGTTCAGTCACTGAAGTATTTCATCAGAAACTTTGAATCGTACACATTTTACAATGTGTCTGCTTCCTTGCAGTAACTGAGATGTAGGAAGGAATTTGTGCCATAAAGCTTCCTTATTACTCATATGAGGAATAATGAGCTTGATGAATCTGCCACGATGAGGCCAGAACTCTGTTATGCATCACATCCTTGGGACCTTTGCATGAATCATTCAAGTGGCAGAAGCTAGCAGTTGAGGCGTGAAATGTCATCTACTCATCAGGCTGAACAGGAAACATACCTGCTGCCAGCATGCCCTCCAGGTCTTTTGCTTGTAAACCTGTAGGTGATCATATGTTGGCTTCGTAAGTGCATGGAAAATAATTTCAGTAGCCTTTCATTAAAACTGGAAGCAAAACATACATTACCTGTGCTTTTCTCCAGCACTCTGTCTCTCAACATGTGCAGGCACCGCACAGCACACACACGACGCACACACACACACACGCACACACACAGCACACAAACACAGCAACCAACACACACACACACACGCGCGCACTACACACACCACACCAGGCACACACACACAGCACACACACACACATACATACAAACATGACACCACACACATCCACACATACACACACACGCACACACACAGCACCACACACACACATACACAAACCACACACACATTTACATAATATGTTGTGCGTGCATGCGTGCGCGTGTGTATATATATATATAATTATATAATATATATAATAAAACCAATATTATTTATGCTACTTCTACGAATTAGTAACTTTTCCATTCCGTGAGATTACAGAAGAAGACATAGGATACACAAGTAAATCACAGGAGCAGGTATGAGGCAATGCTCATAACTTCGGACAACCAACCTAGTGTACCTGACATTAGCGTTTCTTGTTAAAACTAATCTTATCTGATTTAATCGTTATTGTGCCCTTGCTGGGCTTACAGTGACTTTGCGAGGCATTCATCATCAGACGTGGGGGTGACTCATGCCAACCAATTCAGAATGTTTGTGGGAGCCTGCCTATTACCTCCACCTCATGCCCCTTGTGACACAACCAACGTTCAGGCAACTAAAGTGGGTTTATGATGCTGTACCCAACGGTGCTCAATCACCGTGGGCAGTTTTTGGAGGCCATCGGTTTTTGTGAAATAATGCATATGACATGTTTTTTATATCTCATAAATTATATGGTTTGCGTTTGGTTTTTTTTCTTAATTAAATGTGTCTTTCCGACCAGATGAACGAAATAAGTTTAATCTTTTTTGTTTTCATTGTCAGCTGTAATAGTAACCACAGCTGCATGCCGCGTACAATGTTGGATGGTACATTGCATTTGCTGTAGGTGGACAGGCGTAACAGATTAACGGGTGGGGTTGTGCTGAGGGCTGCCGACGTCACACGAGAGGGGTCCTGCTATGATGAATCGCTCGTGTCGGGGAAGCATTACCTTCAAGAGAGAGTTTGCTAGCAGTGCTGCGGAATTAGACATGAGAATCATTACAAAAAGGTGAGAAGATCAATGTTTACGCTGTATGGCGCATAATTCCCGTTGATAATCCTGGAATGTACACACACATCTTTGCCACAAAGTCAGCCAGCCGCAGCATGGTGAGTGTGCAAAGAACAATATTCAATCTCATCAAAAACTCCTAAAAACAGGAAATCCAATACGCATCTATTGCATATTACTTTTGAATAACCGTGTCCATGCTGTGTTGGATCCGGGTAAGTGTAAAGCCCAAGTTCAGCTCTTGTAGACATTGCGTCATCGTGACCACAAACCCATGCCACAATTTGTTATAGTAAGTACGATGTGTTATGAAACTTGAAGTTATGTGAAATTGCCTATACGTAACTTGTAGATTGTGATCACACAAACCAAGATGCACAAATGCAAATTCGCTCATACATAATTTTTCTAAAAGAAATCAACGAATTTTTATTTCCAAATGTGCACTAACTTGGTTAGACTGTTTTCCATCCTTGGGTACACACTTGCAGGCTCCGTCTTAATAAAGTATACAGTCAGCCCTGCAGGTAGTATATTTACCCCAGGTTTGAGGGTACTAATTCTCATTCTGAGCTCAATTTCCTGTATTACATGAGTAAATTATTAATACGTCTTTGTTACTTTGATATTGTATATGCTGACGGGTTATGCTTGTATTGGGGAGTCTGGGGGATTATACATTTCTTTTGGCCAACAAAATTTCTGCAGGAATGGCTTTAAGTTTATAAAAATTCTCATTTACATTATGGAATTTTGTATCATAAACGTTTTCCCTAGAAGGCATTACTTCCATAATGTGATATATTACGGTATATATAATTTATTTATTTGTAAAATTTATCGATATAATGCATATTTATGAATTAACATGTTATTTGTGTCATCCGTACAGTGCATGCTACATAAGATCATGTCATACATGGCAAAGTAAAATCTCTATGGTGTAGTGTACAAAAACCAAGATGATATTCACAAGTCAATGTGGCATTGGCAGGTAGATTGAGAAAAGTTTTGATTAAAGAATGAATAGATTAAACAATGGCTGTGGCAGTGTTATCTTTCCAGAGAGGTCCGGAGGTAGCAGTAAAGGTATATCATAGGATATAGTCAATGATTGTGCAGGGTTTCTTCTGAGGGAAAATTGTCAAAGGAGGTAATGAACCATTTGGAACAAAAAGGCATGCACTGCTAACAATGCGAACATAAACGAAACAGTGTAGACCCTGCGTTCACAGACTCAGTAAACGCACAGGCAACTGAAATTAAGCTGGAAGCACGTGGTGATATCTGCGTGGATCTATTTATTTTTGGCGTTGACACTATTTTGACAATGGCGGGTAATATACATGAACATTTTCACAACGGCGATGTTAAATTGTGACAACGGCGGTTGCGTCACTGTTGGCCTCTTATAATATAAGAAACCATGTTGTGTCATTATATGAAACACCTCAGGGGGGGGGGGGTTGTAAAGCATTCATATTCAATTGCTTTTGGTGATAGAAATTAGTCGGATGCAGCCAGTGTGGAATCAGCCGCCTACTGGAAGCAAGAGGTCTGGCCAAGGTCACTGGACTGTAACCAGACAGCATACCAGAATTCATTAACAATTGTCGCCCCGTCTGTGAATTATGTATTAGAAAGCAAAGTCTTGTCGCTATGTAGCATGGCACAAAGTGGGAAATATTCCTTACTCAGTCTATGATATTAAATAATTTGTGTCTGAAATGTGTGTAGCGTTTTAGAGCAAGTTACCAGAATTCCAATGCTTGCGTCATATAGGCCCAAACAAAAAAATACCGCTTTGGTTCGGCGTCACAATGTGTTGTTTGTTGTGTGTTTTCGGTTTCTTTATTTTATACTGGAACTCAGAGGTTTAGGGATCCACATCAGTGGAAACCACTCAGGAATCTGGCTTCGGTCCAGTTTTTGGCGACTCTCCACGCTTATTCCCTGTGAACGATCAAGGGGTCTACAGCGGAGAGGATTCCCACTGTTCCGCTATCCTTCTTCCAACCTCCTTCCAGACATCTTCGGCCCCCAACGTCTCCTTCACCAACAACTCGAACTTCACTCCACTGTCTTGGATGCGCACCAGTGGAGCGCTGAACATGCCATACCAGCGGAGTCTTCTCGTCACGTAATAAGACATCAAGGTCCAGAACCACATCTGTCCAGCCAGCGTCGTTTTAAGGGCCAAATCCCGATTTGTGACATTGCAGAATCCATCTGATCATTGCCCTGTCATTCGCCGAGGCGTTGCAGTCAACAGATTTCAACTGACCATGTTCGCTCCCGATGCAGCAAATGCGCCTACGCGACACAGGTGCCATAACACATGACCACTGAGTCCTGAGAAGGACAGATGTCGAAGATGTCGCGAACAGAAGCAAGCTTCCGAAACTTCCCCCGGCCGGTCTTTGCTCTAATGATAGTGGCTTAAATCACAGCACCGACCCGCCGAGAGAGTATCAACCAAGGTAGCAGAAGGAGGGTACCACTCCAGTTTGTCCTGCCCATCTGCCAACCTCTAACAGTGGTCCTGCCATCAAAAATGGGCGGGCATCGCCCATCACCGCTTGCAACGGAAATCCGGGTCGTCATTGAGTCGGCCTTTATGCGCACTACACATTGCTCTTATGTACCCAGTGTTGCCAGCCGCGACCAGCGGACGGAATTACTCGCCACACCCTTCCTGACACAACGCAGGGGTAACTTTCCAGGAAGGTCTTCCAAAGAGGTTGCAAGTTTAGCACCACAAATCGATGACTCGTCTTGCCATATTCACTCTAGAGCCCTTCTCCCCATCCAGCTTTCCACACTTCCAGCGCTTGCATGGCATTCTCTCTCTGAATCTG